TGCATGCCCAATCATGAGGGGAGAAGGGAGGAGAAGGGATTGGAAGGGAGGAGAAGGGATTGCAATGTGGTCAGTCCTCTGGTGCTGAGTGTGGGGGGTGATTTCTCACTTTCCCTCTGTATCTCTCTCTTTCTCTCGCTGGTGAGCACGCATGCCCTATAGCAAAAACTAAAACTAAACTAAATCAAACTAAAAAAAAAAGTGTATATAACTCTATTTTTGGAACTTCTCCCCTCTCTACTCCCCCCCAAAAAAAATCATATTGTCCAAATAATGGGAGTCAACTAAAACCAATCAAGTCACAAGTTCCTTAATTCCTTCATAAGTAAAATCAATATATTCACAATGATTAAAAGTGTTCTTATGAAATTTTTCTGGTAGGTATACTTTATAGTATTGTCATTAGATAAGAATAGCTACCAGCTATAGATTACTACATCCAGAGGGTAAGTGGCATGTACAAAAACTGTACAGTCTTCCATTCTATCTACAATAAAATGGTTAAAACATGGGGCTGGACAGTGGCAATAACAGTAATAAAGGTGACCCACATAGGAAGGTTCTGGGTCTATGTCTTAGGACCTCCTAGAGAACGCTAGCCACACATGGGTCCATGATCTGGGGCTAGTTGAAGCTAAGGGACCAGCCTTCTTCTCTGGATCCCCATGCATTCCACAGAATATATGGTTTTAGGTGGTACGTCAACTAGCATGTATGTGTACAAACTGGTTCCTTGCTCAGAAAGAATGATTGTTCTGCCTTGCAGAACACTCAAGACTTTATCCCATCAACACAACTCTAAGACTTCAAGGGGTCTAAATTTAGCGTGATTTGTTCAACTTTTTTTCTTTAAAGAACACCATCCTAGGTCTACTGTTCAACCGCCTATCTTTTGTGAATCCTCACAATACCCCTGAAACCACAGTCAATAATATGATTACCCTCTTTCACTTAGCATCCATTGGAATATAAGCAGACCCAAAGCTACTAAAAGCCTTTAAAAGTGGATGCCAAGTATCCCAGTGCTTTAAAACTCATTGAGATGTTTGTTGGAAATGACCCAAAGTATCTACAGCCTAGTGCCCATTACAAGGCGTCAGAGTTCAGGGTTCATAGAACTCCCGCATGGATGTAGTAAATTTAAAATCCTTCTATTTTAGATGATGAACGCCTCCCCACTTTCTGCCCAGCCTCAGATTAGCATTGCTCACAGAAAGTTAGGGACCATTTGATCAGCATACACAGTTTTAGGGCTCAGAAAAGCAAGGGGTCCTAGCTCTCTCTTCTCCTACCTCTTATTACTTTACCCTCAATTAAAGCCCTTCCCCAAGCAAGACCTAAGCTGACTACATCTGTGCAACCTTGTGCACAATTTCCCCTCTCATCTTTATTTTTTGGGAGAGGTTTTTGCTATAGGGCGCATGCGCTCGCCAGAAAGACAGAGAGAGACAGAGTGATAGAAAGTGAGAAATCACCCCCCAGGGAGGATGGCCATGCCGCAATCCCTTCTCCTCCATTCTCCTCTCGGGATCTTGAGCCTGCATGCACACGTGCCCAGAGTGAGTTTAAGTCACTAGGTCTGGGACTTGAATCACGGTCAGCTACATGGGAGTTCAGCGACATAGCCATTATGCTGTTAGCATAATATTGAGCTGCTAAAGAATAAAATCCATTTGCTTATTCTCTACTGAGCCCAAGTAAATAATTTCCCTGACTCATCTCAGGCAGGGTGAGGCCATGGCTTCTGGAACCAAATTTGAAACTTAAGACATAGACTGCCTTTCTGTCTCAGGCAGACAGCAAAAGAAACATCTGAGGCTGCTGGGACCCCAATAACTAAATGTGGGCACCCCAGTTAAAATAACATTTAGTGCCTCTGTTTTTCTCTCTTGTGCAACCAGAGAAGCTACTGTTTTAATATTTTTTATAGAATTGTATTCGTGAATTACCTACGAAGTTAAAAACGAATAGAACGAGAAGCAGGGCAGTGCTAAACTGTGTTATGCTATAAAATGGTGGTGTAATTTCTTTTTCTTTTTTTTTTTTTTTTTATCATAGGGTATATACAATCACTGGAGAGAGACAGCGAGAGGGAAAGTGAGAAATCACCGCCCAGGGGGTATGGCCTGGCCGCATTCCCTTCTCCATTCTCCTCTTGGGATTTTAGGCATGCACACACATGTGCCTGGCATGATTTTCAAGCTGATAGGTCCGGGACTCAAACTGCAGTCAGCCGTGTGGGAGTCCAGCGCCTTAGCCACCATGCCACCTGCTGGCTCCAATGTGGTATAACTCTTAATAAATCACATGGAAGTACTAATTATCAAGCTGAGTTACTAAAGACTGCAATAGGATGTCTTCAAATAAAAACTTTCCCTCTGAAGAAAAGGAGCAGCATTTCTTTGTTTCCCCCCTCAAGGCAGAATTTATCCCTATATATTAAGATATGCAGGGAATGAAAAGGAATACAAGAGGTCTTCAAAAATTTCATAAAAAATGCCTATTATGAAGAACCTATGTATGAATTACAAAGTTTTGCACAAAAAACACTTATGCATAAATTACCTTTTTTTCATTAAACTCTTGGAAGTCCTCTTATATAATGGGTTGTTGATAAGGCTGTAGCTCAGAGGTTCTTCTCAAACTTGGTCTCTATCTACCTGGATTATAATTCCTCTGCATCACCTGCCAGCTGGCAGTCTGCCCTGTCTAGAGGAAAGTGGGGCAGAACAGGGCTGGAGCTCATTCATTTCTGGCCCTGGAAGATGGTGAGTTCAGACAGAAGCTACAGCGTGAACAGATTTAAGGGCGAAGTTCATCGGTGACAATATGTTCTATTAAGTGGAGTGCGAAGTGGCAAGGCAGGCTGGTACCGCAAGGGTAGGAAGGCTATCTATGCAATTTATTAAAATAAAGGAAACCTCAAGCCTCATCTTGTGATCTAGGAGGAAGTCAATCACAACCAGTTTGCAGTTTAATTTATCTTCTTGCCCATAGCGTGGCTCTACCTTACATCCAAACTCTTATTGATAGATTCAAAAATAGAGTAGCTACTTTCCAAAGCAACTTTTAGGCTTTGAAAAAAAATCTTTTATTGATGTTTCCAATGAAATCATGCTACAACACAAAGCACCTTAGCAAAAACAAAGAGCTAAAACAAAAGAAGGAAGACAAGCTCCCAGATCTGGAGAGATGAACTGAGGACTCTTAGCCACTCAGGATTCTCTGGTACAATCATACTCAGTAGAATCATTTATAATTCTACATTCTCATGTGTTTTAGCTTGTTTTATTCTAACTAAAATCTGGCAGTTCTTATGGCTAAAGAAAATAGATACATTTAAAATAAAAAACCTACTTACTCTTACGTAATATGAATTTAGATTAAAAAAAAAAATAGCTTGAACTAGGATGATTTCTTTCAGAAAAGTGACCCCTCCCTTCCCAACACCCAACCCTAAAATAGAACAACAAGCATTTGTTTGTACAACGGTACACGCGTTATTTTCTAAACAGAGGTAACTTGGGCTCGGTTGAGGCTAAGAAACAGAAATAGATTTTACTCCTGGTCAACAACTCAAACCGTCCATCAGGGTAAAATTGAAGATGTTTTTGGAATTAGTGTACAAGCAGACACACCCTGTTTACCCCAAAACCCTAAAACACAACAACAGCTTCTAAACAGAAGCTCCTCATCAGAACAGCCCTGGAAAATCTCAGGGACAATTTACCTTTGGTTCTTTATGATGTATATTTGAATTTAAATGGAGAGGAAAACTAAAACAAGCAGGAGAGAAGCAGCTTGAATATCTCTTATGGATTCTAAAAGTGGATATAGTTTTGAAAGAAATGAAAAGGGGTTTTACAAGTCCTTCTAATCCAGAAGGAAATGCAGTATCAGCTTATTCTTTGACAGTTAGCCAAGAAAACCAAGCTTT